CTCCCTTGGCGGAGAACGACGTTTCATGCCACCAATGGCACCCCTGACGAGGGACTCTGGCAGTTTGGTGATGTCTAGTAAATACACAGGCTGCTTTTGGCAACAGGATCCTGTCAGTACCTTTCAACGTCGTCGCAGCAAGCAAGATGTATGATGAGTATACAGTGCTAACTGCATATGGTACCTTTCCACAGTTAACACTCAGTTAACACTCAGTTAACACTACAGTTAACACTACAGTTAACACTACAGTTAACACTACCGAAATGCTGCAAAAACCAGCATTTTGCTGGATACACACATTTAAAAGAAGTAAATTAGTATTTTTACTGCCTTTAACACAAATTTGAGGAAAATGCTGGTTTTTGCAGCATTTCGGTAGTGTTAACTGTAGTGTTAACTGTAGTGTTAACTGAGTGTTAACTGAGTGTTAACTGTACAAAAGGTGCAGGATACACTGGAGCTCCCTTGGCGGAGAACGACGTTTCATGCCACCAATGGCACCCCTGACGAGGGACTCTGGCAGTTTGGTGATGTCTAGTAAATACACAGGCTGCTTTTGGCAACAGGATCCTGTCGGTTGATGGAGGAAATCTTGCACCACCTACTGAATCACAAGTGACACGACACATGAGCATGACCCCGCACCCCCTTTTTAATATTGACGATGATGGACACCGAGGTGGTGCAAGATTTTTGTCATTGGAACCCACGGCACTTTCGAGGATCAACAGTCAATATTAAAAAGGGGGTGCGGGGTCTCTACTTTGCTTGGCCAGTTAAAGCGGTGCAAGATTTCCTCCATCAACAGTACCTTTCAACGTCGTCGCAGCAAGCAAGATGTATGATGAGTATACAGTGCTAACTGCATATGGTACCTTTCCACAGTTAACACTCAGTTAACACTCAGTTAACACTACAGTTAACACTACAGTTAACACTACCGAAATGCTGCAAAAACCAGCATTTTGCTGGATACACACATTTAAAAGAAGTAAATTAGTATTTTTACTGCCTTTAACACAAATTTGAGGAAAATGCTGGTTTTTGCAGCATTTCGGTAGTGTTAACTGTAGTGTTAACTGTAGCGTTAACTGAGTGTTAACTGAGTGTTAACTGTACAAAAGGTGCAGGATACACTGGAGCTCCCTTGGCGGAGAACGACGTTTCATGCCACCAATGGCACCCCTGACGAGGGACTCTGGCAGTTTGGTGATGTCTAGTAAATACACAGGCTGCTTTTGGCAACAGGATCCTGTCAGTACCTTTCAACGTCGTCGCAGCAAGCAAGATGTATGATGAGTATACAGTGCTAACTGCATATGGTACCTTTCCACAGTTAACACTCAGTTAACACTCAGTTAACACTACAGTTAACACTACAGTTAACACTACAGTACAGTTAACACTACCGAAATGCTGCAAAAACCAGCATTTTGCTGGATACACACATTTAAAAGAAGTAAATTAGTATTTTTACTGCCTTTAACACAAATTTGAGGAAAATGCTGGTTTTTGCAGCATTTCGGTAGTGTTAACTGTAGTGTTAACTGTAGTGTTAACTGAGTGTTAACGGAGTGTTAACTGTACAAAAGGTGCAGGATACACTGGAGCTCCCTTGGCGGAGAACGACGTTTCATGCCACCAATGGCACCCCTGACGAGGGACTCTGGCAGTTTGGTGATGTCTAGTAAATACACAGGCTGCTTTTGGCAACAGGATCCTGTCGGTACCTTTCAACGTCGTCGCAGCAAGCAAGATGTATGATGAGTATACAGTGCTAACTGCATATGGTACCTTTCCACAGTTAACACTCAGTTAACACTCAGTTAACACTACAGTTAACACTACAGTTAACACTACCGAAATGCTGCAAAAACCAGCATTTTGCTGGATACACACATTTAAAAGAAGTAAATTAGTATTTTTACTGCCTTTAACACAAATTTGAGGAAAATGCTGGTTTTTGCAGCATTTCGGTAGTGTTAACTGTAGTGTTAACTGTAGCGTTAACTGAGTGTTAACTGAGTGTTAACTGTACAAAAGGTGCAGGATACACTGGAGCTCCCTTGGCGGAGAACGACGTTTCATGCCACCAATGGCACCCCTGACGAGGGACTCTGGCAGTTTGGTGATGTCTAGTAAATACACAGGCTGCTTTTGGCAACAGGATCCTGTCGGTTGATGGAGGAAATCTTGCACCACCTACTGAATCACAAGTGACACGACACATGAGCATGACCCCGCACCCCTTTTTTAATATTGACGATGATGGACACCGAGGTGGTGCAAGATTTTTGTCATTGGAACCCACGGCACTTTCGAGGATCAACAGTCAATATTAAAAAGGGGGTGCGGGGTCTCTACTTTGCTTGGCCAGTTAAAGCGGTGCAAGATTTCCTCCATCAACAGTACCTTTCAACGTCGTCGCAGCAAGCAAGATGTATGATGAGTATACAGTGCTAACTGCATATGGTACCTTTCCACAGTTAACACTCAGTTAACACTCAGTTAACACTACAGTTAACACTACAGTTAACACTACCGAAATGCTGCAAAAACCAGCATTTTGCTGGATACACACATTTAAAAGAAGTAAATTAGTATTTTTACTGCCTTTAACACAAATTTGAGGAAAATGCTGGTTTTTGCAGCATTTCGGTAGTGTTAACTGTAGTGTTAACTGTAGTGTTAACTGAGTGTTAACTGAGTGTTAACTGTACAAAAGGTGCAGGATACACTGGAGCTCCCTTGGCGGAGAACGACGTTTCATGCCACCAATGGCACCCCTGACGAGGGACTCTGGCAGTTTGGTGATGTCTAGTAAATACACAGGCTGCTTTTGGCAACAGGATCCTGTCGGTACCTTTCAACGTCGTCGCAGCAAGCAAGATGTATGATGAGTATACAGTGCTAACTGCATATGGTACCTTTCCACAGTTAACACTCAGTTAACACTCAGTTAACACTACAGTTAACACTACAGTTAACACTACAGTACAGTTAACACTACCGAAATGCTGCAAAAACCAGCATTTTGCTGGATACACACATTTAAAAGAAGTAAATTAGTATTTTTACTGCCTTTAACACAAATTTGAGGAAAATGCTGGTTTTTGCAGCATTTCGGTAGTGTTAACTGTAGTGTTAACTGTAGTGTTAACTGAGTGTTAACTGAGTGTTAACTGTACAAAAGGTGCAGGATACACTGGAGGAGAACGACGTTTCATGCCACCAATGGCACCCCTGACGAGGGACTCTGGCAGTTTGGTGATGTCTAGTAAATACACAGGCTGCTTTTGGCAACAGGATCCTGTCAGTACCTTTCAACGTCGTCGCAGCAAGCAAGATGTATGATGAGTATACAGTGCTAACTGCATATGGTACCTTTCCACAGTTAACACTCAGTTAACACTCAGTTAACACTACAGTTAACACTACAGTTAACACTACCGAAATGCTGCAAAAACCAGCATTTTGCTGGATACACACATTTAAAAGAAGTAAATTAGTATTTTTACTGCCTTTAACACAAATTTGAGGAAAATGCTGGTTTTTGCAGCATTTCGGTAGTGTTAACTGTAGTGTTAACTGTAGTGTTAACTGAGTGTTAACTGAGTGTTAACTGTACAAAAGGTGCAGGATACACTGGAGCTCCCTTGGCGGAGAACGACGTTTCATGCCACCAATGGCACCCCTGACGAGGGACTCTGGCAGTTTGGTGATGTCTAGTAAATACACAGGCTGCTTTTGGCAACAGGATCCTGTCGGTTGATGGAGGAAATCTTGCACCACCTACTGAATCACAAGTGACACGACACATGAGCATGACCCCGCACCCCTTTTTTAATATTGACGATGATGGACACCGAGGTGGTGCAAGATTTTTGTCATTGGAACCCACGGCACTTTCGAGGATCAACAGTCAATATTAAAAAGGGGGTGCGGGGTCTCTACTTTGCTTGGCCAGTTAAAGCGGTGCAAGATTTCCTCCATCAACAGGATGTCAGACTCTGCTGCTTGAGAAAAGAAGATCCTTGAATCTTTCCAGCTGCGATGCAAATCTTGCCCAACTGATGGATGAAAGATCCTAGGGGAACTGCACGGCCGGAGCGGCAGCCGAGGAATGAAGCGTCCTCCTCACTGCAAGTGAGTGTCAATGGCCTCAACCAGTCACGCTTCCAGCTGCTTCGACAGACTTGGGATCTCAGAGACTGGTTTTCAAAGTGCAGAGACGGAAGCAAGGAGGAACGAGGTCCCGAACACGGCTGACACACCTTGCGTAATGAACGTTCCCGCGCGCACCGTCGACGCAATGATGGTATTGCGCCTCCCTGACCGCATGTTTTTGTTTAATGAATATCATGGGAGTTGTCTCATATCGCTTTCCGTTTCCTGGCATGTCCCAGCAACCTTGTCCGAGTCGGGGGGTGAACGTCTTTCTCGAAACTTGGGTCGTTCAGCTCTTGCAGATGCTGATGTGTTCGCGAGTATTCGCGTGAGCTTGTTTGTCTTCTTCCTCGTAATTACACACAGGGTCCCAGGGTATGCAATCGCCTCGTCGTTGATTCCGTCGAAGTTGGCTGTCGCTATTCCTCGACTGAAATTCAGGAATATGGGCTCTATTGGGGTACATGATCCGAATACGGGTTCAGTTGATCCCCAAGGTTTTCTGTACTTGGGTTGGCTTCAGGTTGAGCTCGTGTGGGTTTAAGGGGTCATTTTTCTCAGCCAGGTCCTGTACGTCACATGTACAAGTCTAGAGTCTAGAACCTTACGCGTCATTCATGCCGCCAGTCAAGATTTCTGATTGCGGACGTGGCGGGCATGGGGGGCAGCTTGGCTGAGCTTGCAGGGCTTAGAATCAGCGTTGTGGCGCCTGCTGCGCATCAGTATAGTGCTTCGCCCCAAAGAGTACTTCCTTTTTCCTCCCGAACCGTGACCGTTTGCAAGTTCACGGGTTGGAACAGTCTGTGCTGATCTAGCAGCCAGCACAAGCCATGCTACTGGTAGCATTCAGAAAAATCAATCTCCAAGGTGACGTCGAGATGTGGATGGACAGGTGGTTTGTGCGGTTCTTTCGACACTGCAAACTGGAGCGCGCGGGACTTATCTTCACTCCTGGAGCGCCACACAACCTTGGTAGTGTTCACATGGCAGTGTTCACATATATGTATATATAGAAAACTCAGAAAATATAGACAATAGTAACTAAAACAAGAATTAGAAATAGCAATCATAATAGGGGTCCCGCCCTAAAGTTCTACCGTCAGGCTTTGTTGGTCTGTATCGGTAGGGGTGCAAATCCTCGAAAATCAGTCCAGCGTGTTGCACGACGTTCAGCGAGCACAGGGTCTTGTCAGCCGTTTGTATTTAGAAGCAAGCATATATATATATATATACATATATATATATAGAGAGATATATATATATACACATGCATATATATATATATGGGGGTTAGCACATATATATATATAGAGAGAGAGAGAGATGCAGTACCCACATGCGTATGAAACGGCGGTCTTCCGACTTCGGGATTTGCAAGTTGTAGCTCCTCAAGCGTTCCCGAGCATTGAAAGCAGACAAGTCCTAAGAATCATAGGTACTGTATAATCCCCTCCCGCTACTATTAAACCCCCCCTAGCCCCTAATATTAAAATCCAATTTACTATATATAATATAACTATAATTGGGATATTAGGGAGTACGGGGGGGTTTAATTTTAGGGGGGTTGGGGGATTAGCCCCCCAAACTGGCTGCAACCACAAGCGTTTCCTTGAAGTGTCGTCTGGAGACCCTCAGCACCCGGGTGAGGCTATCCGTCGAGGCACGTGGAAGAATCAGCCAGCGACGAGGAGGAAGTTCAGAAGGTGACTCTCCCCGCGTTGAAGCGTTGGACTTTTTTTTAATACCAAGTGGTGAGGGCCAGGGCCCTGTGTAGGGCATCAGCGCACATGTCTGTGCTCAGCGCTCGGATGCGAAGCTTCCCAGAGTCCAGCCAAGAGGGACCTGTAGATAGAGCCTCCTGGCTATGAAGTGATTCACACGACGCAATCAAGGACGTTTGGCAGCAACGGGTTTGTTCAGTGCTGTGCACAGGTCAAGAGCTTTTCTAGAGTTGCAACAGAGGTTCAGCACGAGGTTTCTTGGGGAAGCTCAGAGGCTCACACGCCAGGTGCTCACAATGGTTCATGACACCCAGATTGAGATCACCGCCCGTCGAGTTGCTTGCACTTGGCTGGAGCAGGCAAGAACCCTGCTGGTGTCGCTGTAGGTACTGAGTGAGCAAACCCTAAACCCGAAACCCTTAAACCCTGTAAGCCCTGAACCCGAAACTGTATAGTCCTCCTTAAGCTTGCGGATGGTGGGCCTCTTAAGAAAACCGTCGAGGGCTTGAAAACAGACCTGGCTGTCTCCAGGCCGTGCTCGAAAAGAACCAGATGATTGCCATGGGCTCAGCACCTTCAGAGTGATGGCGGATGCACAGCGTTCGGGCTTCGTGATGAACCTGGAAGACCAAAACCCGGCAACTTCCAGAAACCCGAAGCCCCAAACCCTAAACCCTAAACCTTAAACCCTAAACCAATCCTGCCAAGGAGAAGATCGCCGGCCGAACTGGCCTCCCTGTGGGCAATTCCGATGGGGTGATTGTGGTGCAGGAGGGGCAAACAGCTTCCTGGCAACCGACCAGTTTCTTGTTTTTGTATTTGTGTTGGGGTTGGAACCCTGAACCCGAAACTCCCTAAACCCTAAACTAAACCTATAAAATAAAGACTAAACCCGAGCTCCGAGTCCCCCCCCCCCTTTCCCTGTGCGAGCAGAGACCACTACGTCTCGTCCGTTCTTCGATCAGCGTTTTATCGGTCGCACATAGGGCTGAAAGGGCTTATAGGGATGCAGGCACACGAAACACGACAGCACGGAGGTAGAGCAAGTCACCCTAAACCCTAAACCCCTCCAAACAGCCAAACAGGAGAGCAGCGGAAGCCTGGACCCCAATCTTGACGAACACAAGCCGAACGAGCCGAGGTCACTGCGTACTTCAAAGCAAAAAGTGGCACCCTGAGCTGACACAGGTTGCATAGCCTTAAACCCTGAACCCTAAACCCTTTGCCTGCATTGTGGTTGCGAGGCTAGGCAGGTGACGAAAACCCTGAACACTAAACCCCAAACCCTACCTAATCAGGGCTTGTTTGCAGTGCTGGGGACGGTCGTAGCTGTTTGACCTGGATCCTCGCTGAAGGGCGGGACGGCTCCATCGGCAAGAGCAAGACCCCTCGGGAAGCCGTGGTCGTGTCACTCAATGAGACTTGGGCGCGCTTTCGGACGATCTTGGGCCTTGGGGCTTTTGGGTGAGGGTTTAGGGTAGGGTTTAGGATTCAGGGTTCAGGGTTTAGGGTTTAGGGTTTCAGGTGCTCACCCAAGCCTGGATGCAAAAGGTGGCTGTTGAGGGGTGAGAATGCCTCGATGTGCCTCTTGAAGCCCAGAACATGAAGTCTTCTGAAGAGCCAAACTGACTGGCTCACACCGTACGAGCCACCCAAGAAACGATTTAAGGAAGATACGATCCGGGTGAAGTTCGTCGCCAGCAAGTGGCTAGCTCAGCTAGAGACGACTGGCAGGGTGTAGGATCAGATTCGGCTTCGAAGCCTCCTCCCCGGACATGAACAACTTGTTGGGCAGCATGCTTGTGAGCCGCACTTTGAAGCCCGTAACCTGCAGCTGGAGTTCGGCGCCCCAAGAAGATGCCCCTGAAATTAAGGGCTCGGCACGAGATCCCCATGAATTGGGTGGTGAGCAGCACGCCAGTATCCCGGCGGCACACGGCCAAGGGGCCTTTCCAGAAAGCGCACAGGCTTCTGAGGCTGGAGTAGCAGAGGGTTAAATGGGCATTTTACGAAAGAGGGATACGCCTGTTCTATCCCAGAATAGAAGAGAATCCCCTTAAACAAAAAGGGTACCCCTACTAACCCCTAATTTCGGAAACCCCCAGATGATCCAATATCAGAGTTCCCAGATGCATGGTTTGAAATCTTGCGCGAGAGACGACTTTCAAGGACCTTGGCATGTTGAAGCACACTTGCAGTGAACTGCAGCTCTTCTGTGCTGAGAACAGGGGTTGGCCTGCAGTCGCCCTGCACCCCTAAAGCCCTGAACATCCCCTGAGCCCAAAAAAAGCCTAAGCCGCGGCTTTGACGGACGGCACAAGGAAGAACCGAGCACGGGGTAGGTTTGAACATACTTTTACATTTATGACTCATTTCTGATCCTGTATAATCCCTATCCCGAACCCTAAACCCCAAATGGCAGAACCCTAGCCCAGAAAACCCCTGAACCCTCCAACCGCCAAAGCAGAGCCGTGGGAAGGTACCAGACCCCCGCCTGCTTTCCGAGGGCTGCAGTCCAGAGAGGTGCGACTGGTGGCGTAGGGATGGTTAGGGTTTAGGGTTCAGGGTTTTAGGGTTTAGGGTTTAGGGTTTAGGGTTCAGGGTTGAGGGAGTAGCTGAGCCCCTTGATGTCGGCAGTACATTGGACCCGGCCCTGAAAGGTTAAGGGGGGTCAGGCTCTGTTTTGTTTCACGTGCGTCGCCATATGCAGAAATCGTTTGAACCGGTGGAAGGCTGTGAAGGAGTTGGCCTGCTTGTAGCAGCTGTAGCAGCCTCGCCCCGTATCCTAATGTCACAGCTGGGGGTGGTAAGTCAAGTAGCCTAAACCCGACGCGTCGCATTGATTCAAGGGAGCTTGCGAGCGGTTTGTTCACGTTGTGTTTTTTTTGGCTGGTGGGGCGATGTTCCCAGCCAGCTTCAGCCGCCACATGTCTAGTGGACTTGAAGTACTGATAACGGCTCAACTCTGCATCATTGTACATGAACCGGCACGGCTTGCCAGTTGCGACAACATTGAGAGCATCACCCTACATGATGACACATGATGAAGCCTGTAAACACTGGCATGTATGTTACAATACCTGAGCTTTTCCGACCCAGTGTCGTATAACGTTTTACTCTCTTACACTCTCTCAAAAACTTCTCCTCCGATGTAAAATAGGGGGGGGGGGGGCAGGAAAAAAGCAAGCCCTAAACCCTAAATAAACCTGGAGCCCCAACCTAAACCCTAAACCCTAAACCACCCTAGGCTCGCAAGAGGGAAGCTCGCCATCACCTTGCTGCGGACTGCATCGGCCCCAGGCGCTCCCAAGGATTCACAGCGAGCCTGCAGCGATAATGCCGCGTGTTGTGGGGTTTAGGGTTTAGGGTTTAGGGTTTAGGGTTTAGGGTTTAGGGTTTAGGGTTTAGGGTTTAGGGTTTAGGGTTTAGGGTTTGGCGCCCTAGGGTTTAGGGTTGGGGTTCCTTGAAAACCGGATGAGCCCTAAAAGCCCAAAAGGGGCTCGGGCTCTGGTTCAAATACCCGTGGTATAGGTACGTATGTGATCCTATTTTTAGGGTTCATTTGCTCCCCAAGATTATGGGCCAAAACAGGGTCGATAGGGTTCAGCTACAGCGCTTAGGGTTGAGTTGATGGGGTTTGGCTGTGCAGGTCACATGGGTGAAATGAACCTCACTCCTACTACACAAAGACCCCCCCCCCCTGCACGTCTGCCATGCACCCATGCACTATGAGCCAAGGAGAAGGCGATAGCGGGCTTTGTGCTGGAGAGCTTCAGCCAGCTCCGCCCCTAGCAGCGGAAATCTGATTTCTGCCGTCGCTCCTTCTTGAGATATCCCAAACCCTAAACCCTATACCCTAAACCCTAAACCCAGTGTGTGCCTCGCCCGAGTGTGAGCGATTAAACCCTAAACCCTAAACCGTGCACAGAGGAGGGCGGAGAGGATTCCCACGCGTGCACAGAGTTCTTAACAGAGCCCAGGGCTTGACAAATCCTGCTGAGGCCTTAACCCTGAGAGCTCTTCTAGTCTCTCTCCAGGCTCCTTTGTCATCGCTGGTCCCTGAAATTTTGCGGGTCCGGGTTTTGGGAAGCCCTAAGCAACCCTAAACCCTAAACAAGTCCTCTCAGGGCAGCCGATCTGCTTGAGGAGCTGAGCCGCGGCGTGGAAGGGTACCATCCGCCGTTGCTTTCGGGGCTGTTTAGGTTGTTGAAGGCGTTCCTTTTCGGGGCCCGGTCTAGGGTTTAGGGTTTAGGGTTTAGGGTGTAGGGTGTAGGGTGTAGGGTGTAGGGTTTAGGGTTTAGGGTTTAGGGTATGGGATGCATTCCAAGGTTCGAGTCGTTTTGAAGGAGGGCCGAGGTCTGCTAACGACCGTTGCCAAGGGAGGTTCCCAGACTGGTTTATTGAATTTTGGGCTTTGATGCGCAGGTGGGCGGGGTCTCAGGGGTGGGGTGTCTGGTTTGGGGGGTTTAGGGTTTAGGGTTTAGGGTTTAGGGTTTGCATGCACAAGGGGTTTAGGGTTTAGGGTTTAGGGTCTAGAGAGACTTCAGCATCAGCCCAGACCCTAAACCCTAAACCCTAAACCCTAAGAGCCCAGTCTTGAGCACTTTCGTATCGATGGAGCCAGGTGCAGAGCCCAAGAGGACGAGGAAGGCCTAGCAACGGTCAACTCGCGGTTGGGGTGCAGGGGTTGGGATATGGTTTAGGGTTTAGGGTTTAGGGTTTAGGGTTTAGGGTTTAGGGTTTAGGGTTTAGGGTTTAAGGGGATTGGGATATGGTGGTGTGGGGAGTTCTGATCGGATTCGGTCGAAGCCTGTCGCGAAGGGTAGGGTTTGGGGGTGGAGTCATGTCAGGTGGTAATCGTTAAGTCCCGCAAAAAACGGGGGGGGGGGGGTTACTATGGTATAACTGTGCGTATCACAAGGGGAGTACTCTTAGTAACCACTCCGACCCCATATCGACAGGTTGTCGGAAGACCCTAAACCCTAACCCCTAAACCCGAAACCCCCAGATAAGGACTAGTTGAATAGAGGGGGCCTAAACCCTAAACCCTTAACCCTAAACCCTAAACCCCCATGTCGACAGGTTACCGGAAGCTGCTGAAGATCATCCAGAGCTTCCTGGATCAGGAGATGGTCGAAGTCGACGAGGAGACCTCGTCCTAACCAATGCCCCGTGCCAGGTGGCCAGGTGGTCCCAGAAAAGGGTTCAGGGTTTAGGGTTTAGGGTTTAGGGTTTAGGGTTTAGGGTTTAGGGTTTAGGGTTTAGGGTTTAGGGTTTAGGGTTTGGGGTCCTTATAGACTGTGAAAAGCCCTGGAGCCATACATGCTTTCACCAATCAGGAGCTGCAACAGGTTCTGCCCCAATCCTTGGCCGACATCCCCTCCGATCCAGGCTTGTCGTCTGTGGATTGAAGTACTGGTTTAGCGTTTAGGGTTTAGGGTTTAGGATTTAGGGTTACTGTATCGGCTTCGTGATGGCATGGCTTTCGATTCAGGACTTGTGTTGCCGACATTTGTGGTGTTCATGGCAGCGAAGGGGAGAGGGTTCAGGGTGAAGTGTTGTTCGAAAAAGGTTTAGGGGTCGGCGTGTTGAATGTGAGTGCTCTTCCTGTACACCCTAGACTTGTACTCGACACGCCAAACCCTCAAGCCACACACTCGCACAACCTCAAGTAAAGACTTAGATCCTTAACCCTCCTGAATAATGAAGTCATACACCGCCAAGCAGAATCTGCAAAAAGAAAACCCCCCCCCCCCCCCCCCGCGCCAACGCCCTAAACTGGCCCTAAACCCGGAACACATACACTGTCTACGGAATATACATATATATATATATATATTGCTTCCATTGTAACAACATTGTTGTGATGAATGTTTCTTACTTTACGCACACGCACGCACACACGAACATCCACACCCACTCAGCCGCGCAAACAAACAAGCAAACAACCGAAAAAAACATCACAAACAAACAACAAAGAACCAAACAAACAAACAAATAAAGACACAATCAAACAAACAAACGCACAAACACACACACACACACACCACACACTCTCTCACACACACACACACCACACACTCACACTCACCCGCACACACACATATGCTATTTCTTTTTTGGTTTTTTCTATTTATTTACACACACATACATACATACATACATACATACATACATACATACATACATACATACATACATACATACATACATACATACATACATACATACATACATACATACATACATACATACATACATGTGTGTGCGTGTGTTTGTCATGGTGTGTGAGTTTGGTTGTTTTCTATTTATTTGTTCTCATTATTCATACAGACCATGTATAAGCCCCAAACCTGCCAGCAGGCCACAAACAGTTCCTGGACAAGCCCCTCTACAGCGTGCCAGAGGCATCTTGAACAGACCGGGGCGGGGTTTTGCTCTTGCACAACTGAGTCTGGGTTTAGGGAATCGGGAAGCAGTTTGCTGGATGTGTTTCTGGACTGCTTCGTGGCCGCCCGTGTCCAACATCTTCTGCCTTCGATCTTCTCAGCGCGCGCTGAGACTTCGATGTTTTGCAGAGGCGCGAAGCACTTGCGCCACTTGCGTGGGGGCTGAAATTCCAAACATGAACTCAGAAATACTATAGGGGCCTTAATAATATAGGTTTTGGGGGGTTACTATAGTATGATGAATCATAAGGGAATACCATAAGTATTTATTCCGACCCCTATATTACGCTGCAAGCGCTTCTGGGACAACAAACTCGGCTCTGACAGCCGGAAGACAAAACCCATACAGCACCCAGGGTGCCCCCTTTGTTCCCTATGTCTCCCAGGGTTTTCGGGAGTTTAGACTATAAACCCTAAACCCTAAACTATAGGGCAACAAGCTATATAAAGCCAAAGCTGGCAAGCCAAAGCCGCCTACAACCCTTGGCTACATGGACCCCAAGTAGTAACCCTAAACCCTAAACCCTAAACCCTAAACCCCTAAACCATAAACCCTACAAGCAGGGCTACTTGGACCCCAAGTTCACGAATGATATGATGCTGCTGGACGGGGAGGACACTTCGGCGTGTGCGGACCTCAAGTTTTCGAGGCCTCTAGGGTTTAGGGGTTTAGGGTTTAGGGTTAGAGTGTAGGGTTTAGGGTTTAGGGTTTCGGGTCCTGAGGCCTCAAGAGGACATTAGGACATTGGATTGCCAGAGGACTTCTTGAGCTCGGGATAGCCGATTTTTGGAGGCTTGAGTGCTTGGTGGCTCTAAACCTACACGAAGCCCTTAGCATGTTGCTGTCAGCTATAGGCGGGTGGCAAAAAAACAAACCCCCTACCACCTAGGACGCCGTGGGTGTGACAGCTCCTGCCAAGCCCCGGAAGCAAAACGAACAGAAAGCAAACAAAGACACGCACATTTTGCTTTTGCGTTTTTGCTTTAGCGCATTTTGCGTCGTTTCTGGCTTTTGTGTGTTTCTCGCTCTTTCTGTCTGTTTTTTTTTTTTTTCGTGTGTGTGTGTGTTATTGTGTTGTCGCTGTTCCGTGGTTGTCGCTTTTTGTGCAACTTTTTGCGCGTCTCGACGCAGACTCCGGCACGGCACGGCGCGCGAAAGGTTGGCTTAGCTGAGGGCCTACATCCTACTGGCTCTTCCGAGTAGGGACTTCGGGCATTCGGCATTGGGATGTCCCCCTTATACTAACACTTGAGAGGAACGATATGGACTGTCAGTATAAGGGGGAACATCCCAAATTAGGCACCCTATGGCATAAACCTTGAGAAGAGCCAGTCAGGAGCAAAGGCAAGCTAGGACATCCCACTAGGCACCCACACCTCACCAGCAGCGCTTATTCCCCCCCCCCCCCCCCGCCCAAACCCCCAAAGGGTCAGTTCTCAGAATTAGGGCCCCTTTTCGGGTACTGTACCCTAATTAAGAGTCCTTTAAGAGGGGCCGCCTTATAATCAGAACAGCAACAGGGACCACACTTTAGAGAAGTGACCATCCAGCCCTACATAGCCCCACGGACAACTTAAAGGCCATAGCGACCCCATACTCCCCCCCCTAGAACTGAAACTTCCAAGGCAACCTCGAGACGCCCGAACTCTCGCCTAAACCCGAAACAAAATCACAACAACCTCAAGAGCCCTAAAGCAAAGAAACAACGCGAAACCTGAACCCCACCTAAACCCTAAACCCGAATAACAAATAACCCTAAACCCTAAACCCAGCGCATGCGCCAGTGTGAGAGTCGAAACCCTAAACCCTAAACCCTAAACCCTAAGCCCTAAACCCTAAACCCTAAACCCTAAACTCTAAACCCTAAACCCTAAACCCTAAACCCTAAACCCTATAAACCCTAAACCCTCCCCCCTTCCCGGAAAAAACCAGCAGAAAAATCGCGCCGAGGCAGCCCACCAGGCGACTCTTCGAGTACGGCTGAGCCCGCAGATTCCTCGTAGCGGCATCTTAGGGCCTTTTGGGGGGTTGGGGTTTAGGGTTTAGGGTTTGGGGTTTGGGGTTTGGGGTTTAGGGTTTAGGGTTTGGGGTTTGGGGTTTAGGGTTAGGGTTTGCTCGGTGGTGCATGGAGTCTGGCTAGCCGTCCAGTGGCAAAAGGGTTAGGGTTTGGGGTCTAGGGTTTAGGGTTTGAGGGGGGGGGGTTTCGGGTTTAGAGAGTTTCGGGTTTTGGGTTTCGGGTTTGAGGTTTAGGGATTTGCATGTTTACGGCTCATCAAAGCGGATGGAAAAGGGTTTAGCGGTTTGAGGATTTGGGATTTGGGGTTCTGGGGTTTTGGGGTTTTGGGGTTCAGGGTTTGAACTTACGAGTGCTGTTCATCTCGCTTCGCAGTGTGCCTACCCGGCATTTGTCACGAGGCCTAGATGTAAGACGGGTTTGGGCCTCGACGACGCCAGATGCAAAATGGTTCGGTGGCACGGGGTTTAGGGTTTGCTTTTGCTTTTTGCAACAGGGGTTTGGTTCTTGTTTAGTCGGGATTGCAACAGGGTTGCGGGCGTGCGTGAATGGCGGGTTCAGGGCAGGGTTACACCTTAGGGGTACTTGGAAATATTTTTTAATTTTAATTTTTGAATACTCTATTTCCTAAGAAACAGCAAAAGTATAGTTGTTTGCTGGGGTTCCAAGTTCAGTATAGACACAAGGTAGCATGTTGCCAAAACAAGGTTTGCAGAACTGCTAGGGCCTAATTACGGGTGGTCTTGGCTTAGGGCACGCGGCCCAACGTTTGAACGCAGCTCCACGCTTGGTGCCGCGTGTGATGCCCTTTCGTTGTAGTTTCGGGCTTTCGGTTTTCGCACGATGGAATACAGTTGCGCGCCAACAAGTGCCCCCAAGCGTAAGTATGAGGGGGGGGGGTTAAGTAGGATACTATGTTGGCTCATTTGAGGTATCAAAGCCCTTGCTTAATTACCGCCTAGGATACCAAATCTTCCCAGGTGGAAATTGGGGGGGGGGGGGGGGGGGGGGGGGGGGTGGGGGTTAGTATGAGCGGCAAGGAATTCTTGTTGTCAGCAGTGTGAGCTGTGAAGCCTTTGGCGGTGTCTCCCCGCGCTCTGATCGCAGGATCCAGTGAAGAGAGCTGCCATACTGGCTGCCAAAGCCAAAGCAAAGGATGAAGCCGAAGGGAAGACCGAGGAGGCAGCGCAGTTGTGGAAGATGAGTGCCAATCAGGGGTAATATAGGGGTCGGAACAATGACTAGTAGTATTCCCTTCTGGTCCCCTATGATAATACTATAAGAACCCCCAGACCCTATTCTAATCAATAAGGCCCCTAAATATTATACCCCTAATACTTTGGAAAATGGTGTGGTCTGCAGCACTGGAGTCGGATTCAAGGTTGCAGGTGCGGTGCTTGCGGCATGTTGTGGTTTATCAGCTCTTAAGTGGCCTTCTCATGTATCGACAAGTTTGTGCAGTATGCAAAGAACTTGGAACCAACGCAGACCTTAGCTCCTTCAGCCTCGCTCACCTGTGAGACTTAAGGCGCATACTCGGAATCTGCTGCCTGCGCGCGTTTACCCTTGCCAGGGGGGCCATGATGCATGATCAATCTGGGAAAGCAGGGGTTTCAATGCCCTTGAGGGGGTTAACCCCCACTCCGAAAAGCCCGTCGAACCCTAAACTCGGACAGGTGTCCAAGGAAAATGTTCAAGCAACCCTGCTACCGTAAACCCCACAAAGTTGGAAACTTGTTTAAGGACAAATAGTGCTGGGATTCTGCAACATGTATAGCTTCAATCAGATGCATACCCCATCTCCATATGCTGCCAGTGGCTTGAGGGGCCCCTCGTAGCTACCTGACTTTGCCACTGAGCCATCGGACCGAGCTTGCGTGCTCGTTGGAAAAGGTGTGAGAGCGTGGAGCTCTTGGTGCACTGAAGTGTGGAGACCCTGTTGAGCCCGATACGCCCCTACCATTGCAGCGCCCGCTGCATTGGTAGCGGAGCAGTCACGCTCCAGGACCACGACGCTACCGAAGCAAGTCTTGCTGGTGGCGCTTTCGGCTTTGTGGACAGCCGTGCTAGGACTTGGCCATCGAGGTGAAGATTGTCCACATCTACCCGGCCATTGTCCGCCTGCCCCTCCACGGCAGTTTTCTCCGTGTTTTCCGTTTTGCTTTACAATTTTCCAGAAGGAGGACAAGATGTCAGATCGTGATCATGCAGTGCCTGCCTGGGACGGGAGCGCACGCTCGTGGCGGCGCTACACCCGTGAAGTTGCTTGGTTTGTGCAAGCTACTCCATTGCACAAACGAAGGCAGTGCGCACCAAAGCTCTTGAGCCGGTTATCTGGGCCAGCACGCTTGCTGGCGATGAGCTGGAGCAAGACGGCCTTTGACCACGCGGGCGGCATCCATGCCTTTTTGCAACGGTTGGCAGCGAGTCCCTTGGTGAGAAAGACGCTGCCAAATGCTGCGGCGATCTGCCAGCAGTACTTTGCGTTCCACCGAGGCCAAAACGAGTCGATTGGCAACTTCCTGGTAAGGGAGACTCTGGTCCATGAAGAGTTCACGGAGGCGATCATCCGCTTGCATGAGGAGAAACTTGGGATCTCCCAAGAGAAGAGAGACTTTGGCCTGCCACCGGTGGATGATGGCGGCGGAGAACAGTGGAGCTGGTGGTATGATGAGTGGAATGGCGAGGAGGACTATGACCAGGACCAGCGCGGAGAACCCGCCGAAGACATCGATCCAACCGAAGGTGAACGTGCAGCGGATGAAGGACGTGAAGCCGACCGAGATCGTGAAGACCCTCGTACCCCGCAACAGCGAGCGGCCACTGGTTCATCGCCCAGCCGACGAGATGGTTCACAGCGAGTTGCAACGCCAGTGCCATCTGAGACACCGGCTGTCCAGGAACCCATCGACGAGCTGTCGGTGGCGGACTCGTTCATCATGGGCGTGCTTCGTGGATGGAGGCTACTGCAAGCCGCCGGGCTGAGTGCCGAGGAGAAGCGTGACATCCTCAGCTCGACGAAGAACAGCCTGGACTACGAAGTTGTGGCATCGGCCTTGCAAAGCTTGTGGGATGAGCAGCTGCTTGGGCAGCGTGGTGGCGGCCATCATGGTGGTGGTGGCTACTCAGCCCACTTTGCGGAGTACGACGACCAGGACCACGAGGCCTACTACCAAGATTGGTGGGATGACGATGATGGCTGGTGGATGGACAGCTACTATGCCCAGGGCGAGAACGACTGGTGGACCGACGACTACCAGTACCACGAGAACTACCAGGCGGCAGCAAACGAACATCCTGATGATGGAGGCGTGGTCGATGAAAAGCTCCAGGAGCTACAGAAGGCGGAGAAGATGGCGGAAGCATTGGCCCTGGAAGCACAGAGGACGTGGAGCGATGCCCAGAAGGCGACCCAGGCCTTGCGGAAGGACAGAGGCTTCGGGGCCACGGCGCAGATGGGTGGTTCGGGGCGATGCTACATCTGTGGCGGCAACCACTTCATGCGTGAGTGCCCGGACCGCCGTCACCCCAGCAAGGGCAAGTCCAAGTACGGCTACCACATGAGCGCCGACGACTTCAACGGCTACTACATCGGCAAGGGGAAAGGAAAGGCGAAGGGCAAGTCCAAGAAGGGCATGTGGCTGGAAGGACAGGCGATCTGGAAAGGGAAGAGCAAGGGCAAGAACAAGGAGAGTGGCCTGAGAACCGTGAATGCCTACGCACAAGACCTCTTCCTGGGAGGACTGGAGTTGACGGATGTGATGGAGATGGCGTCGGCAACCACTACGCCCTTGAGTCCCCAGCAGGGCATGATCGATTGTGGCGCCACGGCATCCGCGGCACCTGAGGCGGTAATCAAGGATTTGATAGCAGCTGTTCTCACTCAGGACAAGGGAGCCCGCATCGAACTTGACCAGTCCTCGCGCCCGTATTTCAGGTTTGGCAATGGGAAGTGGGGACGTGCACTATGCAGAGTACATCTCACGAGTGATGTTAGTGGTAGCCCCCGACACTTTTCCTTGTACACCCTTCCCAATCCTGCCGAGTATTACCAAGCTCAACTCGATAAGCAAGCCCTCGTGCCTGTCTTGGTTGGCATGGATTACCTTGGACGAAAGGGTGTTGGAATGATGATAGACTTTGCGACAGGCCTTGCCATGAACACCAAGGAGCCCAAACCTGAGATATATCAACTCCAAGTCAGCCCCAAAGGCCACTACACCCTTGACATTGTGGAGTACCTAACCAATGGCCAGCGAAATCTAGATGGACATGCCCAAGTACTTGTACGCCCCCAAGCAAGCCGTGGTCATGCTCATGTTGAACATCAGTTTCTGGAGCTAGGGACGCTGTGGATGAGCATGACGTGCAGGGACGAGGAACTCGATGAGCAAGAGTTACAAGCTGCCAGGGATAGGATGTGGAGTATGTATGAACATGCGCATGCATGCCAGCTTGCGCAACCTGCTGCACCAACAGCCACGTCGGCTTCAATGTGTGGTGCTGCAGTAGCAACCCCATCCTCGACAACTTCCTCTTTTCGTTCTGTGCCTGATGGCGGCATATGCCCCTCGGCAGCTGGCGCCCGAGCAGGAGAAGATTGTGGTGACCGGCATCAAGGAGAAGACCCCAAAGGCCAAAGCTCGACCGCTGGATCCGTCGAGAGCTCTGGAGGGCGACACGAGAGATCCGCGGGCATCATCAAAGCAGTGGCCATGCTACAACCGGCACGTGGCGGACACCCCCAAGCAGAACCCCCACGGCCAATGGACACATTGCGCAGTGTGCGACCTGAGGTTGTCCTACGTGCCAAGGAGCGGGTCACATGGGGCGACAACGATGGTGAAGAACCCCGAGATGGTCCGGCGGATGCTGACCGAGCTGCACCCCCTGATGGGCGACTTTCAGCCAACAGCGACTATATGTCGTGCGATGCAACGGAAAATCGATGCGGAGGAGCAGCTCATGGCGGCCATTTCCGAGGTGAAGAACCCTGGGATGAAAGTCCGCGCAACAACACGACCAACGCCGACTACAACCTCGGGAAGCCCACTGACGACCGGCGAGTCATCGACGGGAAGCTGGCAACTGGCATCCGAGACCGAGGATCAGAATCTGGCCATGGCATACGAGATGGAGCGGGGCGGCCAGTAAGGGGTGAACTACCGCTCTTTGCCGGCAAGCAAGTGATGAAGATGGCGACGCTGATGACAGCCGTGCTGGCCAACCACCTCATGGGATTGCACCTGGATGGACGCGATGGTCTTTGGGAAGTAGCCTGTGCACCTCACAGCTGGTTGAGCGAAGCAGCCCAAGAGCAAGGGTTGTGTCCAAGACGAATCAACCTCGCTGCTGGTTACGACCTCTACAAGAAGGAGACATGGTGTCGACTTAAGGCCCTACGTCAAGTACACCGACCTCGACGCATCTGGCTGTCTTTGCCATGTACCAAGTGGTGCGCTTGGACAACGGTGAACTATAACACGCCGGAGAAGATGGAGCAGCTGGAGGCGTATCGACGTCGAGAACGACGGCTCCTTCGTGAAGTACGGTTCTTCGTCAAGGAAACCGTGGATGAGATCGAGGATGTCCAAATCTACTTCGAATGGCCATACCCCTGTGCTGGATGGCGTGAGGAAGCACTTCTGGGCCTACAACAAGACCTTGAACAACGTGGGGTTCCCTGGCTTTCCTGCAGAATTGATGGCTGTAACTATGGCATGAAGAATGCGACCGGTGATGCCTTCCTCAGGAAGAAATGGATGGTGAAGACCACGGACGAGCTGTTCCACAAGAACTTCAGGGCGAAGGTGTGTCCTGGGAATCATGTTCATGCTGTCATCGAAGGCCAGGAGACCGAAAAGTCCGCGTACTACCCTTGGAAGTTGGTCCAAGCCATCACACGTCACTGGAAGGCGCAACATGTTCCAGGCCGGCATCTTCAAATGTTGCTCTCCCGGGAAAGCGTTCAGGACTCTGATGAAGATGATGAGAAAGATGTTCTTGTCAGCCGCATCCCCAGACCTGTGGCTGAGCTGAATTCCGAGTTTGAGGCAAAGATTGCGCTTGGCGAACAGGATTTTTCGTTCCAACGATGTGAGGCAATTCTGGTTCTGATGCAGGGCGCCAAAACAAGCCGTGGACCGATGAGATCGCGGGGGAGCCAGGCTGGAGTCACCTATCAGATGTATGGGGCATACTCACATGGTGGCCTGCATGGGATAACCAAACATACCTGGCAACACCCCTGGACATGTCGCTACCTGAATGCCTTCCTCAAATCCCGAGTGCCGAACCAGACCTGGACCAGCATCATGATCGGCTACAACCAAAGGACTCAGCCCCATCGTGATGTACACAATCTCAAGGAGTCCGTGAACATCCTGGTTGGAGTTGGTGCCTACGCCGGCGGGGAACTTTGGCTACATGGTGAAGCCCCGCCTGGAGTACCGAAGGTGAGTAGATGGCATGGTGGGCAGCTTTGGAGCGGCTACGAGCTTTCCACAAGGAATCAGGTGGTGATCTTTGATCCTGATCAATGGCATGCAACGCAAGCTTGGACTGGATACCGGATCACCATCTCGGCTTTCACAACGCGGTCCATTCCACATTGGGATGCACAAGAACTCAAGGATCTACGAGCTCTGGCGTTCCCACTCACTGGGGGAAATCTATATCCCCTAGAATCTCGTGGCGATCCCCTAGAATCTCGCGGCGATCCCTCAGAATCTCGTGGCGATGAAGTACCAAAGCTTCTCGACGGTGGACCCGTGCCCAAGGCAGAGCTCGAACGATGGACCGTCAAGGTTGCCAAATTCCACAAAGCCGCTGGTCACCCATCCAACAAGAACCTGGGACGTATCGTGCAAGAAGCTGGTCATCCTCAATGGAAGATTGATGTGGCCAAGCGATACCACTGTCCAGCATGTGCCAGTCTGAAACAAGGAGGTGCAAGTTCGGGCCAGATACCGCCGGCAGCGACGCATCAGCAGTACGAAGCCTGGGAAGCTGTGGGTGTCGATGCTGGTGAGTGGGTGCCACCTGGAAGCAAGAAGAAGGTGAAGTTCATCCTCATGGTAGACCTGGCTACAAAACTGAGAGTGATACAGCCCATCATGATCTACGACCTGTTGCAGATGAAGAACGAGTCGGGCAGCGATTTGATCAAGGCCGTGTCTGAACGCTGGCTGTCGACCTTTCCAAAACCGCGAATCCTTGTGCTGGACTCGGCAAAGCCATACGTTTCGGAGCAAGTGCATGCCTTTGCATCGGCCATCAATGTGGGACTGCACTACACGGCCGAGAAAGAGAGCTGGGCGCATGGAGCAGTGGAAGCCTCAGTGCAAGATGTCAAATCTACAGCTTCAGCCATCTACCTTGAGAACATGGATCAGGATCTTGAGGTGACGCTCCACTTGGCTGTCGCCGCGCTGAACTCCACCGAGTACACTGCTGGCTTCTCCGCGTTCCAGTGGGCCTATGGCAGGAACTACAACATCACCGATGAGGATGTGCGCACGTTCCAACATGTGGACCCCAAGATCGACTTCGCCCAACTTGTTGTGGCTCGCCAGCGAGCAGAAGAAGTGGCACGCCAGACACGTGCCCGACGAGTTCTATCGAAGCTTGGCAACACCTCTGTGCGGCAACCATTGCGGAACTACGAGCCCCTGGATTTGGTGAAAGTCTGGAGACGAGTCTGGCCGCAAGAACAATGCAAGGGACCTCGTGGCGGCTACAAAAAGTCCGGGAGACCTCACTGGATTGGGCCAGGACGTGTGGTGTTCTCTGAAGTACTACCTCACCAAAAAGAATCTGGAGGAAAACGACACATTCTCTGGGTGTTGGTTGGAAATCAACTCCTACGATGCTCGGCGCACTCGGTGAGGCCAGTGACGGAGGTGGAGCGGTTTCAGTATGAGACCTCTGGGGCCGAGAATCCATCGATGTGGAAATCCCTGGCGGACATTGTGCCGAAGCGTGAGTACTATGACGTGGTGGATGAGGAGCCCGGAGAGAATGAGGTGGAGATGCCACGACTTCCGGAAGCACCCGATGATACGACGACGGTCGTGCCTTTTCGCAGGGCCCGACGAAAGGTCACCTTCCAACCGGGTGACTACGTGGCGAAACCCGTGGGAGAGCGACTGATGGTGGACGATGGTGAAGATGAGGAACCAACAACGACAGCCACGACAACTTCCTCAAGTTCCACGAAACATGTTGGTGATGTGAATGATTACGAACTGCCGGAACCGAAGAGAGCTCGTTCGACAACAGATAATGGCGGTTCTGATGCAGCTGGTGAAAATTGGGTGGAACAGTTAATGCTGGAGGCGAAGCAAGAGGAGGAAATGGACCTCTTCAATGTGATGGACAATGTGGAGGAGTTCCTCAGAATTGAGTTCGACCTGGAGAACCACATGAGCAATCAGAAAATGATGGAAAGGAACCCGGTGGCCTTCATGGTGAAGAAAATGAGGGACTGCGAGGTGAACATCAGCCGTCTACCCGAACATGAGCGACCGTTGTTCTCGAGGGCAAAGGCAAAGGAGGTGGATTCGTTCTTGAAGAATGAGGCCGTGAGGAAGTGCTTGGATGATGAGGAGATCAAGAAGGCCTACGAAAGCAGTCGCATCGTCAAGGCGCGCTGGGTGTTGACATGGAAACTGGTGCCACCTGAGGACCGACAGGAGGCCCTTGATGATTCCCAGAAGAACCCGGCGACGTTGCACACGAAGGATGGCGCTCGAAAGGCCAAAGCTCGCATCGTACTACTAGGGTTCCAGCATCCAAGCCTGCTGGATCCTTCCTTCAAGACTGCGAGCCCTGTGCAGTCGAGTCTTGGTCGCAATCTCCTGTACACCATGGCGGCGCACCATCAGTGGGAACTTGAAGGGCTGGACTTGGCTACAGCCTTTCTACAGACGCAACCCACAGAAGCAGATCAGGAGCTGTGGACGACAGGAGTGGAAGAGCTTCGTCAAGCACTAGATGTTGGTGCGGAAGGGATTATGAGAATCCTTCGGAACATCTACGGCAGCACGACGGCACCTCGTGGACTGTGGCTAGCTCTGCATAAGCGATTGACAGAGCTTGGAGCGCAACCGGTACTTGGAGAGCGATGCTTGTGGGTTTGGTTGTCAAAGACCGACATGGATGAGGACCACCCGAAAGTGATTGGCAGTATGGGTGGTCATGTGGATGATTTTCATCGAATTGGCGATGGAACTTCGGCCGAGTGGTGTGAAATCAAAGAGAAGATCAACAATGCCTACAAGTGGGGAATGACAAAGAAGAACTCCTACCGCCATGCTGGAACTGATGTAACGACGGTCAAGGACAAGAATGGCTTCAACAAGATCGTGGTGGATCAGTCGTATTACATCGAATCGATTCAGGACATCGAGATTGAGCCTGATCGTCTTCGACAAAATGGTCCTCTAGAACGACGAGAAGTGGAGGCCTGCCGAACCACGCTGGGAGCACTCCAGTGGGTGGCCATACAAACCCAACCTCAGCTAACAGCCCGCTGCAACCTTCTTCTCACAGAAGTGGTGACGTCCGGAACCTTGGAGACCGCGCGGGAGATACAGATGATGGTGGGAGAAGTCAGACAGAATCCAGTAAAGCTGGAGTTCAAGAAATTTCCCCAGGCCAAGCACTGGACGGAGGTAGTCTTCATCTCCATGGGCGACCAGGCGCACAACAACCGGCCGAAGGGTGATTCAACCGGTGGCTTAGTGACGTTGGCTGCAGGACCTGAATGTCTGAGTGGCCAGGTGTGCGAGATGTCACTGCTGGCATGGCGCAGTTGGAAGGTGAAAAGGAAGGCGATTGGATCGAACGACGCCGAGGTACAGTCGATCTTGGAGGCGGAAGATCATAACTTCCGGACGAGACTGTTATGGTCGGAGCTTCATGGGGCCGGAGGACTACAACATCGCCGTGAACTTCGTCGCGATTTGGTGGAGCTCACGGAGAAGCAAGTCCTGAAGGTGAAGGGAGTGTTATGCACGGACTCCCGAGGAGGTTACGACGCGGTGGAGCTGAATGAGTCGCCGTTGCTTGGGCTGAGCAACATGCGCTCGGCATTGCAGGCGTTCCAGCTTCGGGACAACCTAAGCAGAGCTGGGTGTGAACTTCGTTGGCTGGCATCGGACTACGACCTCGCTGATGCCTTGACAAAGAAAAGAATGGACAGCCGCATCGGCCTTCTCAAGTTCTTGAAGACTGGTGTGTGGAGCATCAAGTTCGACCCCGACTTCACAGCCGCCAAGAAAGGGAAGAAGATAGGTAAGAGTGCTGTAGATGCTGTAGACAAGCATTTGTTTGGGGACCCGAATGATCACTGGCTGTCTGCATCTGACTCCTTTTTGGGGTGGTGCAACATGTATAGCTTCAATCAGATGCATACCCCATCTCCATATGCTGCCAGTGGCTTGAGGGGCCCCTCGTAGCTACCTGACTTTGCCACTGAGCCATCGGACCGAGCTTGCGTGCTCGTTGGAAAAGGTGTGAGAGCGTGGAGCTCTTGGTGCACTGAAGTGTGGAGACCCTGTTGAGCCCGATACGCCCCTACCATTGCAGCGCCCGCTGCAGATTCCCTGTACTTTACTCTTAGGGATTGAGGTTATTCAGTTTCCAACTTTTTGGCTTCTACTGTACATTCAGAATGATACCAAAGTTGGGCTTATCGGCATTGCCTGGTTGGAGCGCTGTGGCAAAACATTCAGAACGCCCCCTAGCGGTTTAGGAAAGTCCGAAAAATCCCAGTATCCTACAGTAGAGCCTGCTGTTGTAGGGAGTGCGTGCAGAAACCCCAAAGGCACCGCAAAACCTTTTTTTTTTCAGGTAGACGCCGGAGACAAGGATCCCAAGAGGAGGAAGGTCTCCACCGAGAATGGCGAGAAGGACAATCGGTTTGGGTTTTGGGGCAAAAGGGTTTGGGGGTTCACTTCTGCAAGTAAGGGTGAGGGTTTTTTGGCTAGGAGTTGTGGGGGTTTGAGGGGCCACGAGTGATAGGGGGGCACACCCCAAGTGTCCAAAGTGACCTTAGTGGTCTTGCTTGTGTGGTTGTTGGGTCCTTGTCTGCGTTGTGCGAGTGTGAGCGTCGAAGCCTAAACCCTAAACCCTAAACCCTAAACCCTGAACCCTGAACCCTGAACCCTGAACCCTGAACCCTGAACCCTGAACCCTGAACCCTGAACCCTGAACCCTAAATTTGCAGTACTCTCAGGCCTGGAGTTCCCCCGGAGGTGAGAGATCCCGCAGCCCCTAGCCGAGGCTTACAGGTCGAAGGGTTTAGGGTTTAGGGTTTAGGGTTTAGGGTTTAGGGTTTAGGGTTTAGGGTTCAGGGTTCAGGGTTCAGGGTTCAGGGTTCAGGGTTCAGGGTTTAGGCATCGGCGTGTTTATTAGGGGGTTAGGGGTTTATTAGGGTTTTTTTACTGTTCAGGGTTTAGGGGTTTAAGAAGTTTAGGGGATGCAAAAAAGGGTTTAGGGTTTAATTTAGTACACAGGAGCTCACCCGACTGTTCCTCCTCAGCTCCGTGCCAGAATCCTTCTTGCATGCATGCTGCTTCAGACAGGGCATGGCTCAACCCTAAACCCTCACAACGCGCGGAACCTGAAGGAGCCCGCCAAAGTGGCAGAGGCAACCACGGAGCCCGCCAAGGAAGCGAAGCAGGACCGCGGGATGGCAACTCCCAGTTCAGGGCCTCATTGCATACCTGGGGTTTAGGGTTTAGGGTTTAGGGTTTTTCCTGGGACCCTCCTTACCTACAGGTTTAGGGGCTATACCGACGAAGAAAGGGTAGAAGCTTCTAATCTGCAGGTAAGTAGAGTCTACTAATTGAGGGTAGTTTCTACTAGACTGTAGGTCAGTAGAGTCCCAGGTCTGTGGCTTATAAGGGCTTCGAGTTGAGGCTTGAGGCTTGGCTTGAGCCCACAGGAGGGCTGATATACGCTGCGCAAGTTTGCTTGAAGAACATCACGCCGTGAAGAGGAGTTGCTTGAAGACAGCCACATGATTTCGTTGAAACCCCGCCATACGCGCATTGGGTAGGCAACTGGGAGGTGGGGGGGAGGAGGTGGGTGCCCAACCTCCCTGCTTCTCGAGGCCACGGCAGCTTGTTCAAGACAGCACCATTGTGTTTGCAAATTGGGCAGCTGCGCCCAGCCACCCTGAAAAAAAAGCCTAGACCCTAAACCCGAAACCCTCAACCCTCAACCCTAAACCCTAAACCTACACCAGCTTTGGGGTCCGAACCTAAGAAAGGTAAGAAGCCCCGCACCCAAGCCAAACACTGGGGCCAACCGAGCCAAGCCAAGGCTCTTCTGGGAAAGGGAGACCCTAAACCCTAAACCCTAAACCCTAAACCCTAAACCCTAAACCCTAAACCCTAAACCCTAAACCCTAAACCCTAAACCCTAAACCCTAAACCTAAACCATAAACCCTAAACCCTAAACCCTAAACCCTAAACCCTAAACCCTAAACCCTAAACCCTAAACCCTAAACCCTAAACCCTAAACCCTAAACCCTAAACCCTAAACCCTAAACCCTAAACCCAAGCCACACCGACGAAGCAAAGCAAGAACTTCCAACCCCCCAGCCAAGCCAAATCTCGCGCCAAGCCGAGCTTCACCAAAAGACAAGCCACACCGGGAAAAACAAAACCCGTTGGGGAGCTTCAGGGTGGGGGGTTTAGGGTTTAGGGTTTAGGGTTTAGGGTTTAGGGTTTAGGGTTTAGGGTTTAGGGTGGGTGTGTTCCAGTCGCACTGGGTCCGTTGATGAGTTCCACGACTCGAAAGAAATGATAGGATGTGCTGCGCTTGCTCTCCGAAGACCTGAACATTGATTCCAGTGAAAGGATCTTGGTTCCGTAAGGGTCCAGGTACCTCATTGTATACTTGGGCCCCAAAGGCCTATATGAAGCAGGGTTTATGAGTGTATATAAGGTTCCTTTGGTGAGTGTACATACCTGGTGTCCTTTTGGGGATACAAGAAATATAAACCACTTCATATAGGAAGTACTTTAAGACCCGAGTACTCCCTATTTAGGTACATGGACCTCTAGTCGTAGAAGGACAAACAGTGCCCCCAATCTTGGAGGATCCGTCGGAAGTTAAAGCAGAAGCAGCTAAGGAAGAAGCAAAAGAGGAGGTGGGGATTTCTGAAGTTAGGGCTATCTTCTTGGAGTCCCCACTATATAAGGGAATCCTACTATTTGGGGGTCAAAGTTGGGGATCCCTTATTTTCCTAAACCCTAAACCCGAAACCCTAAATCCCCCAGGTGAAAGACGAAGCCAAGGATGACGCCAAGGAAGACTTGGAGAAGTTCACGGCGGCTTCGCTCGAACTTCGGTGTGGTGGGGGCTCATTGCTTTTCTGCATAGGTTTTTTACTCAAATGGGGGGGTTTACGGTATTGGGGGTACCTGATCGGGGGGTCCTGATCATAAGGGGATCCTACTATTTGGGGTCTATATACAAGATTTACTCAAATGGTGGTTTGCGATATTAGGGGTACCTTATTGGGGGGTCCTTTTATTATAAGGGGATATGGCGTCCTTGCATGCAGAAGGTGGTGCAGCTCAAGGAGAAGCTCCGTGCTGCTGGCCTGACTGTGTCTGGAAATAAGGCGCCGTGGGCGCAAGACTTACTTAGCCAATGGTTGAACTGTTTCTTTTTGGGCTTCCTTACCTAGTATATGGAATTATGAAGTTTGGCCTTTTGTATTCCTTGGTTTTTGGAGAGGCCAGAAGAAGTCTACTGCAGTAGGCAGTCGTTGCCCAGCACCTGTCAGGCCGATCTCATCAAGCGATTGGAGGCGCCTCTGGGCCGAACCTGCTCACGCTGTTGGCATCGAAAGCTACGGAGGGTCCCACTTCATGATCTTCACGCATACTATGGGGCCTTAATGATTAGAATAGGGTTTTGGGGGGGCTATTGTAGTACAGTTATAAAGGGACTGTAAGGGATTATTATTGGGGCAGATCTCGGGCGGTTCCAGGCAGCCGTTTTTGTTTTTGCACACCATCAGCCAGAGTCCGGCATGCCAACAAAAAAGTCAGCAAAACCCGCAAGCGGACAACAAAGAGAGGTCTGGGCTAAACCCTAAACCAAACCCTATATGGACCCTGCGCACGTTAAGGGGTTATGTTAAACATCTACGCAGTACAGGAAGCTGTGCACCAGGTGCATGTGGAATGCACACCAGAGCCTCGGAACGTCTTGTCGACGACAGGCTCGAACAAGGACACACACCGCAGCGAACCCAGGAAAAGTGCGGAGTGTCCCAGCTTTTCAGTTAGCTTTAGATTGACCCTATCTTTGACATGGTAGCGGAGCTGCCGTTCCAGGAACCAGAGGCAGCGATGATGCTACACATAGCAGGAGTAGGAATCGTCCTCATAGCCATGATGGCTTCTCTCGTCTGTGGGATGATACAAATGTGGAAACAGGAAAAGAACGTCGAAGTCCGAGAGTTCTTCGAGTACCTCCCCACAGTCCGGATAGCAACAAGAGCAGGAAGAAGGTACCACAAACCAGGTTGTGGTCACATCAGGAACCTGACGGTTGCTGGTGGAAGAGTGAGGGACTTTGCCCCTTGCTTCAATTGCTTCCCTGAACGATACACGATTCAGGAAGTGAAGACGAGGAACATGAGATGCTACGGAATGGCAGCAGGCATAGTGCTGCTGGTTGGTTTTGCCCTGGGGAGCCTCGCCACTTTGTGCGGGATGAGCATGACTCCAGGAAGATATGGCTTCGAAGAGAATCCGTGGCAGGCCCTTGGACCCGGAAGAGCCAAGGATGAACTTGCCCTTGGAGATGACAGATCCTCCAAGGAAGAAAGACGTGGGAGAAAGGTGATTGCCGAGATTGACGAGAGTGAGTTGATGGTTGTGTGGACGAGCATCCCAGGAAAGCCCAATACGCATTCTCAGAAGAACTACGACAAGTACTCCGTGAACCAGGACTTCATGAATGCCTACACGATTAGGAGCATCGACATGTACATGAGTGAAGAAAATGAGAGCCTTGAGTCCGGCTACGCTCCTAGGCGCCTAGTAGAAGGAAAGTTTCACAATGTAGAAAAGATCCCTTTCAAGGAACAGTTCGAACAGCTAGAAAAGAAGTTTCACGACGTCGTGCACAGCTTAGTGTTTGAAGGAATTCATCTCGTAGTTTTCGTAGGAACACCTCTAGGAATGATTACTTGGATCATCCTATCGTACTTCTCACGATTGTTCTTTACAGCAGTACAGAAAAGAACGAAGAGAGCGAAAGAGCCCAAAAGGAAAAGCATGAGAAGAAGAGCAGAAGTGAGGAGACAGCACAAGACAATGTTTCTTGTTGTGCTTGTGTACAGCAACTTGGAAGCAGCCAAAGGAATGGAAGATGCACTACAGAGACTTGCAGAAATCAACCAGCAAACGCTTCAAGGAATACAAACCTTAGCAGAAGAGATGAGGAGCAGTGCAGCAGCCGGCACAGCCCGAGAGCAAAGCATCACAGCAAGCTTCAGCAATACACTGCAGGCAATTCAGCAGCAGAGTGCAGAGGCACAGCACACTTTGCTTCAAGCACAGGAAACAGCAGTGACAACTTTCGAGGAGATCGGAAGCAGCCTAGAGAGAGCAGTGAAAGGAAGAAAGCCAGGTGACGTTGAGCTTCACAAACTCATCAAGCCTCCAGAAGTATTTTCTCCAGGAACTTGGCAAGAAGAAAAGAATGGTTTCATGGAGTTCAAGCAACGACTTCGAGTTTGGCTTGGCGCTATGGATGAAGATCTTGTGGAAACCATGGACCTCGTGGAGAACGACCTAAGGAAGAATGAAGTGCTGGACATGAAAGATATGACTGATGAGGCCAAAACGCAAAGCAGGAAGTTGTATAGCATTTTAGCGTCTTACACCAAAGGCAGACCGTATCGTGTGGTTCGCCATACGACAGAAGAGAACGGTATGGAAGCCTATAGGATGCTGTTGTTAGAATACCAGCCTGTGAATAGAGCAAGATCGCTGGAACTTTTCCACAACATCATGAATTTCCGTTTTGCCAAGGACAAAGGCATTGCAGAGAACATCCTCGAATATGAGGAACGCATTGAGCAGTACGAGAAGTCCACTGGAGAAAAGGTGCAGGAAAACTTGAAGGTTAGTACATTGATTCAAGGAATGAAGCCTGAAGTAAAGAGACATTTGTTGCTCAACCTAGATGAGAAGACGAAGTACCCGGCACTTAGGCAGTATCTTGTGAACTATGAGTCAACTGAGAAGTGGACCAATTCGCTTACGCAGTCCCAAGGAACACCCTATAGGACCACTACTGACCTAATCGACAAGGGAGAAGATCATCAGGGTGTTGCAGCCATGGATGTGTCTCAGGCTTGGAAAGGCAAAGGTAGAGATTGGTACGGGTACAAAGGTAAAGGAAAGAAAGGTGGTAAGGATTCAGGCAAGGATTCAGGCAAAGGTGGTTTCAAAGGTCGAGGCAAAGGAAAAGGTAGAGGCAAAGGCAGAGGTGGAAACTGGAAAGGCCGAGGTAGAGGCTTTAGAGGTTTCAAAGGCAGAGGAAAAGGCTACAAAGGGTTCAAAGGTAGCTACAAAGGTAAAGGCAAAGGAAAGGCCCAAGCAGCTACAGGAGTTTGCCATTACTGCCAGAAGTATGGACACTTTGAGGCCCAGTGTAGGAAGAAACAGAGAGACATGGGGTACACGGCTAGGAATGTAGAAATGCAGGAAACTCAGAGTGAAGCCCCAAGTAGAGGAACAGCCTCAACCCAAGCTCCAACATCGAGAACAGCGACAACATCAGCCAGTTCATCAGGTCAAGGAACCCAGAAGCCGATCATCAGGATGGTAACAATGCACCACATCGGTGATCCACCGACCAGCTTTCCTGAGGAGTTCGAGCTGAGCGAAGACTCTGAGGAACTTGAAATTGATTACTTCGGGAGAGTTTTGATGGTTTCGGCTAGTTCAGGAAAGTCAGGGCAGGAATTTCAGATTGGAAGTGAGAGTGATGAAGAGAGTGAAGACATAGAGAAGGACCCCTTGTACTGTTGGTACACCTCAGAACCAGAGAACTTTGTTAGGACAGTGAGAGAGAGCCCAGGTGCAAAGGAAATTGAGGTTGTGCTTGACTCAGGCGCAGATATCTCATTAGCCCCTATGTGGATGCGAAATTTCGGTAGGAAGGTCCCGGACCGACGCAGGATTGAACTCCGAGACGCTCAAGGAACTAGGATAAAGGTACAGGACCAGCGGGTTATTGAGGTTGAGTTTGAGGATGTTGGTGGAAACTGTGTGAAGGTTGAGGAAGTCTTCTTGATTTCATCAGTTGTTCACCCTCTCTTAGCTGTAGGAAAATTGTTGAAGAAAGGTTGGGAATTTCGGAACGGTAGTGAGACAGGAACTTTCTTGGTTGAAGGAAACACTTCCATAGCAGTAGCTTACAACAACAATTCCCTCACCGCTAAAGCTTTTGTCAGGACAGTCTCAACATCCCAAACAACAGGAGTCCCTACGCCAATCTATCTCTGTGAAACGCTTAGGAACCTCGTAGCTGAAGGTCGAATTGGATGGACAAGTGTGACCGAGCCCTATGTAGTCCACTACAGCCCAAAGAGCTCAGAGCATGTTGACCCAGCTATGATGTATCCTCAAGGAAAACATCCTTTCAGAGCTGTTTTGGTTAGAGACACCGAAGGCTGGCAGCTCTTGCACTACAACGAAAGGTATGAAGAGCTAGAAGAACCTTTTGGCCACATCTATGATGAGAGCCAGAACTTTGAGGTATTGACCTTGATCTCGTCCAAGGCATTTCCTCCTTACCTCATAGGAACACCCAAGAAAGCGGAAGACAGACGTAAATTTGAAGAGTACACTGATGACAAGTGGTCTCTTAGCAAGGATGGAACTGAACTGATCAGGTACCACCACACGCCCAGGAAGACACGTTTTCATCCGCTCGACTTGAAGGACATTCCCGTAGAGCGTGAGAACCTCCAGAACGAGAGATCCACCTACGGAGAGGACCCAGTGAACCATGAGTTCTTTGAGGACAAGATGCCATGGGTTGCAGATGAGTATGACGAGTTCTCATCACCTTTCGGAGTGAGATCATGGACAGGACAGTCTAAGTTCAGGTTGGTCTACCCAGTAGATGGTTCAAAGGCCCAACAACAGGAACAAAGGCTCAAAACAGTCCCGGAGAATGAAAGCATGGAGATTGACGAACAGGAACCACAGGCCCCTGCACACAGGTATGAACTTCATGGAGAACTTACGTTCATTTATGATGGTCATGAGTACAACCAGCAGAACAGCCTGAAGATCCTCAAGGAATTGTGTACAGAACTTGGAGTGTCTAAGAATGGCTCAAAACAGGACCTCCTTAGAAGGCTCAGTAGGAAGATCATGGAAGATGAGAGACGGTTAGGACTCAACACTGCTCAGAAGAAGTACCAGGAATATGCCATTCCACAACCGCTCAAGGACCAAGTCATGCCCAAACCTGAAGAAGTTGAGGTACACAATTTGACACATTTACCGTATGCCACTTGGTGTCCAGTATGCGTTGCGTGCAAAGGAAAAGAGTCGCCACATCCAACTCAAAGCCCTGAGAAGGAACGATCGTCTAGACCCACATTGTGTATGGATTTCTGTTTTACAGGAACAAGTCATGATGAAGCCCCGACGGCAGTCAGCTTGGTTTGCATTGACTCTTGGAGTAGGAGCATTGCTTGCATTCCAACTGCAACCAAAGGAAAAGGTTTGATCGAGCACATTGGCGAAGGCGTTACGTACATGAGCACTCAAC